TGTATGGACTTGGTGTCCCTTGAGACTCCCCAGGAGAACACCCTCATCAGGAATCGCATTCAACAGGGTAAAAACACTTACTTATCCCAGTGAGCAAGAAATTCTCCAAAAGATGTCCAAAACTCATCCAAATGAGTTCTATACGGACATCTTCTGGAGAAAATGCCCTCAAAAATTGTGCTCTAGCGGACATATATGGAGAATTTGTCCGCCAGAGCACAAACTGCCACACACTGGCGCCAGAAATGTGCGGACAAGTTCTCCAAACTTGTCCACAAGTTCTGCAAAATATGTGGAAAAGTTTGGAGAACTTCTCTGCACATTTCTGGCGCCAGTGTCTGGCGGAAAAGTTCTCCAAACTTGTCCGCAAGACCCTGGCGCCAGTGACACTGTGCAGACAAGTTTGGAGAACTTGTCCGCCAGACACTGGCGCCAGAAATGTGTGGAGAAGTTCTTCAAACTTTTCCGCATATTTTGCAGAACTTGTGGACAAGTTTGGAGAACTTGTCCGCCAGACACTGGTGCCAGAAATGTGTGGAGAAGTTCTTCAAACTTTTCCGCATATTTTGCAGAACTTGTCCGCCAGACACTGGTGCCAGAAATGTGTGGACATGTTATCCAAACTTGTTCGCAATTTTCTGGTGCCAATGACACTGGTGCTAGGAATTTGCGGACAAGTTTGGAGATTTTGTCCTCAAGTTCCTGGCACCAGTGTATAATCCTAATTTCCACAGTGACTCCACATATAGTGGGCTGTAGCTGTTTGCCTATGGGGTTCAACTCCCCATCCAGAGGTCCTGGGTTCAATTCTGAGTTTGGTAACAACTTCTCAATTCCTTTAAATAATGCTTCAGCAATACTTTAGCATAGGTAGGTAGGTTAGCTAGGTAGTGGATTAGGTAATTGATTAATTGTAGATAGGAAATTATGAGCAGTCACTAACTAGATAATATGCATAACCAGGCAATATGAACATCAATAAAGCATCTAGAAAAGCTATATAGAGCATGAAGGAATAATCATAAGGAATGTGAAATTCCCAGGTGGGTGGAAAATTTTATTACAATTTAGCAGAATTAAAAAAGAAACAGAAAAGTTTTAGAGGAAATTGGGACATCTTTTGGATAAAAATTGGACACATTGTCCCATCTTTATCCAAAAGATGTCCCAAATCTCTCCAAAACTGGTCTGTTTTTGATCCAAAAGTCATCCAGAAGACAACCACTTTTGGACGACTTTTGGATCAGAATTGGACATGTTGTCCAATTTTCATCCAAAGCAACTTGTCCAAAACTTATCCGTTTTTGGCAAGATTCTTGGATAAGTTGCCTTGGATGAAAATTGTCTGTTTTTGGCAAGACTCTTGGATAAGTTGCCTTGGATGAAATTTGGACTATTTCATTCAAAGCAACGTGTCCAAAACTTGTCCGTCTTTGGCAAGATTCTTGGATAAGTTGCCTTGGATGAAAATTGGACTATTTCATCCAAAGCAACTTGTCCAAAACTTGTCCGTTTTTGGCAAGATTCTTGGATAAGTTGACTTGGATGTAAATTGTCAGTTTTTGGCAAGACTCTTGGATAAGTTGCCTTGGATAAAAATTGGACCCAAAATGGACATTTTTGTGCTCAGCACTGGGTTGACTATTACATGATTTCTCATCAAAGATTCTCTCCAAATTATAACTGAACCTTATACCTGGGAGGAGGTTGAACACCAATGACATGCTTTAATTTGGGTTCAGTAATTGCTGTATGCTGCAATTCTTATTATTGATATTGTTTGTAAACAGGGAAGAAGAGAAATTGTACGTATTTATATCAGTTGTGCAGTTGCACTTTTTGGGATGTATTTTCTTTTCTTTTAATATCCATGTACAGCTTATTTCTTTTTTTCATGCTGATGTGAAAAATATGCTTGGATGAAGGTAGGTAGGGAGAAAATGAAAACTCTGAATTCATTGTTGGAAAAAACGGCAGCAAAACAACAAAATGGCGCCCAAAAAGTGAAATTTTCTCCTAATCCTCAGTCATTTGAAAATTTAGCAGAATTTGTCCTTCTCTGAGGACTGTGGCTCAGCAAGGACATTCCTGAAAAGAAAAGCCTTTCTCTCTGAGGTTTTGTCATTCATGGTTTCTTTTCCTGATTTCTGACTCTTTCAAACTCTAGGCTCTTGCAATTGTGTTTAAAACCCAAGCGGATCTCCATGAAGAGAAGCTATTGTCAAATTGTATCTTTCCAAACTTCTAATAGTGTATCAAAACTGACCACTTTGTCTTTTCTTAAAAAATACATATCTTATGCTTGGGACAAAAAAACATCCTGGCTGCAGCCCAGCTGCTTGAGCTTGTTCTAATTATTTCTTGTGTTCTGTAAATTCCTGAAAACTAATTTCTCTCAGTTCAACTCCTGAAAGTACTGTTCTTTTAGCTTGCATTCAGAGTTTAACATTGCACAGTAGTTTTTTTCCTCTTTGTGAGTCAAGCATTGTTTATTCTCACATTCACTGTTTTTCTCTCTGATTCTTCCACAGACAATGTTGAGTTCATTTGGACTTCTGGTCGCAAATGCAACTTTGATGGTTGTGACCGTGCTGATTTGCGACCAATCCTCATCAACGGATGGTTCTGGTCTGGCTCTGGTGTCAAGATGTTCCCTACCAACCGCAGATTCGCAGGTAAAAAACAAAAAAAAAAACCTGTGCGAAATTTTTGTTTGAATTTTTAGTACAGAAACAAGCTTTAAATTCGATTATGCCGTACAAATCATTCACCTCGACGATACAAAATCCAAGCGCAGGTACATTGGATTTGGTAAACAAATTTCACATGTAAATATTAATATGATCACCTGCTGTAGAATTTCCAGACATCGAGAAGCAGGATCTAATTACTAAAACCTATTTAGGAAAGCACTTTTTGAAGTCACGAACAGAAACGTCAAGTCCCATCACGGTATTTGATGATCCAGTGAAATAGGTCTAATTACAGCATACCAAGTATTTTTTTTTTATATCTCAGATTCCATGTGTTCAGTCTATCCAGGCAAACCAAAATAAACTGTAAAATATTGGAGATAAATGTGGTTTCATTTCACAATAAAACAGGTTGCACCCAAATGTTGTCATGTGCCTTACTCAAAGGCATATTGTACTGAAGTAAATGTTGTACTTCGCAGCTTCGGTTTGGTATAAAAGACATTGTACAGTACTGCGGCGGAGTGCAGTGGCTCTGTTGTGGATACGCGCGACATCTATGTCTGTTTTTTGAAAGCATGTTGTTTATATTATGTTACAAGAGCCCGCTGATGACGCTAGTGTATTCTTTGTCCTTCATAGGAACATGGTCCTCAACTGGAGGCGGAGGACGACCTCAGCCCGACAACAGAGAACCCCAAGATAACTCTGGTTTCGGCGAAGACGAGGCCTGCGTGGCCATCTTGAACAACTTCTACCAAGATGGCGTCGCATGGCATGACGTGGCCTGTTCCCACAAGAAACCATTCGTTTGCGAAGACTCTGACGAGATCCTCAATTTCGTTCGTAGCCGCGCAAATGTCCAGCTCTAAAAAAGTAATATTAAATTTTTAACACCTCGCCATCATCATCATTTCTTTGCGATTTATTATTTTCTTTTCCGGTTTACGACGCCCACATCGTTTCGCTATATTTATTTCGGACTGACTTCCATGTGTCTTTATGATGATTCTTTTTTTTTTTTTTTTTTTGGTGGACAAATAAGAGAGGGGTTGGGATGAGAGGAGGTTTAACCTGAGCCCTTTTGTTAGAACGGTATGTTATTTGGATGTGATTTTGTATTAAAAAATGAGAAAAGAATATGTGCCAGAGTTACTGGCAATTTTTTTTCTTCGCGAAAAGGGTTTCCATCTTTGCCTCGGGAGCGGCGAAATACACAAGCGTTTGGACTTCTTCTCAAAAATCTTTCATTTTCAAGACTGAATTTATGGATTCATGCACATTCTCTGGATCTGAAAAAATGATCGTACCCTGATCGGGATGTTTGTGAGAGAACATCACAGAAAAGATCAGCATAATTTAAACAATTTTCATTTAAAGCATTACAGTACTGTATAACATTTCTCAGACCAACAAAGGTTCATATGCATGGCAATTTTCATTTCTTCTGTAAGTTAATCAAAAGAATCACAGCTCTCAATGTCATGCAGAATGCTCCTTGTTTGTCTCTTTAGGAAGACAGGGGACCAGAAAGAAATGCCAGTGAATATAATATCCTACAGAAACTGAAAATGAGTTGCTCATCCAAAAAAGAAATTTAGAATCTGAATAAAATGCAGGAATCTTCACTTCAACATTGTAATCAATGGGACATGAACATTTGAGAACATACAATATGATCTAAATATATATCATCTAAACATCCCCTTGGTACATGATACCATAAGTCTTTTGACAAACTCATGGCATTTTAATAAAACATTCCTCAAATTTTCAAAGGTGTTTACGTGGTGTAATTTCTGCAGTATAAATACATCAGTTGATGCATCATCAGAGCACCTTCTTTTCTTATGCCCAGCACTCCACAGCTACCAGAATGAGCTTCAAAAAGATTTGGGACTCAATCTTAAATTTCAATGAAGACTCTATCCAAAATCTAGAGAGGCCCAAGATAATCTGTTAACATTATATGATTTCTCATGAAAGATTCTCTCCAAATTGTAACTAAACCTTACCTGGTAGCAGGCTGAACACCATGACACGCTTTAATTTGGGTTTAGTAATTGATTTACGCTGCAATTCTTATTATTGATATTTTGTTGTAAACAGAAAAGAAGAAACTGTACCTACAGTATTTATATCAGTTGTGCGGTTGCACTTTTTGCCTTTTTGGGATGCATTTTATTTTCTTTCAATATCTATGTACAGCTTATTTCTCTTTTTTTCCATGCTGATGTGAAAAATATGTTTGGATGAATGTGGGATAGGAGGGGGTTTGGATGTGGATACATTCCTTGAACCTTGGGAACACTGAAAAGCGGAAAATAAAGCTTGCTGTTCAATTCAATTCAATTCAACTATGCCAGAATTTTTTCACAAATAAATCGTTTGTGAAATATACCATAATTTATTCAAAAATAAAAGTTTGCAAGTTTTTAAAAATCAACTTAAATGAACTAAAATCATAGTTGCGCCAGAAGTTGAGACAAAAATATTTCGGAATAATTTTTCTTGCAAAAAGGGCTTTTTAGGTACTTCAAAATTATTTTGTAAGCAATACGTTTTTATCGCATAAATCCTCCGAAAAAGGAAGCAAATCTTTCTGATGAAGCTTCAAATCTTTTGTTCCCATATTTCTTCGAAAATCTTCTCTAAAATTCATGTTTGCGAGTTATTTTGAAAATAAGTTTATGTCACGAATGAAACCTTTTGACAGGATAGGAATGTACCTGTTGAAGACCGTTGGTAATCTTTTTTTCCTCCTACTTCTCAATTCTGAAAGTTCAGCATCCTTCCTCCGGTTGATGAGGAACAGTCATTTCCAATGCAGAAAGAACAAATCACCTTTTTTTAATGCAACTCGTGAGTTTTAAAATACCTGTACAGCTAAAAGTACCTCTTAATTTCAACATTAAATGAAACTTTGCGACTGAACTGCGCTATATACAATTCATTACACAAATAATTCTTGCACCTGAACATCTCAAAAGCATTAATTCACAGGCATTCTTGACGGATTTTATATCTGGTTTCTCAATTATCGTCCAAATGGCAGAGATTGAAACAATAGAAGAAAAAAAACCGGATTAAATCCGAAATCAGTTCATCATCACCAACTTCACTGCCTCCAACGCTTTCTCATAATGACGCTTCCCATCCAAATGCAGAACACAATCTAGAAACAAACCGACGCTAACTCAACTTCATCT